TTATTATTATTATTATTTTCCTGCAATTGGGTGTTCACCCGGTGGCAGTAGATTTTACACTGATACAGACAAGGAAAGTCTATAACATAAAGGAACAATACAAAACAAAATACAATAGAGTAAACAAGGTACACACAGTGCAAATCCAAACATATAAAGTTATAAAAGAGCACGTGCTTGTGCTTGTTTCACTGCACTCGAAGTAGGACACTTCACATTACTTCACGTGTTTCATTCAACTCCGCTTAAGGCCTCTGTAATTTTTCTAGAAGGAACAGAAATATAATTATTCTTAACTCTGTGGTATACGATAATACTTCAACGATTGACAGTTGCTCAGTTAATCTATAAATTTCCTGTTACAGAACTCGAAGATTAATCTGTGACGTTTCTGAAACTCACCATTGGACTTGGTTAGAGTTGTAATGTCACCCCGAATGTACATTTTCCCCTTCTTTTTTCTAGTATAATCTAATTAAGTGACAGAGAGAGATTTAAGAGACAGACACAAGACAGAATAACGTAAAAAATGGCATATATACGTATAGCATGTCTGTAAGATCCTTTTGGTTTGGAGCACACGTTGTGGACCATCGTGAAACTGAAAGTTAGGACTAAAGAACTCCGTGCTTACATCGTTTTCATGTTAAATTCCAGCTAGTGGATGCGTTACTGAAGTTGTAATGTGGTTAATGCTTCTGTGGTTAAATCGTATGCATTTTAATGCTCAACACCAACAAGAAGAAAGTATAAAATTTGTCAGTGGACGTGAGAACCTGGATAATATCGTCTGGATTATGAAATTGTGTAGTCTCATAAGTACCTGAAGATGGAGGCAGCAGATCTCCAAAACTTTCCACGAAACACATGGTGTCATAAAGTAGGAGATTTAAATCAGAATTTTCACAATCGTGAAAACCTCAGATTTTAGTATCACTGAGAAATTGGTTGTATAATTATATTACATTAGATTTATACCTAGTAAATTATTCATATTATCGGATTTATTTCATGTATTTGACTTTTCGAGAGATGCATCTACTCACGAATACATTTGTGTCATTTTATTTTACCCGTTTCAATCGCTGCAGATCGAATGGTGGAAGCCGAATCATTTAAACACAAATTTAGAATTCAGTTCAACGGAAGACAAAATGTTCCCAAAGTCAACGCCATGTATGTCTCCATGGGATGGCTTTATTTTTTGAGACCACAAATTTATGAGGTAGGAGCAACACCGACGTTGATTAATATGAAGTCCCGGCTGTCAACTTTCAGTCATTGTGCAATTTTTATTACGCTGCTTCATTTGTTTGACATAAAACAGCATGGTGGCTGTGTAAATTTTCCATTTATCTTCAGCTTGACAGCGTGAGTAAGAAACAGTTGAAGCACATACTATCTTATGAAATCTTCTATGAACACCTATTACAAGAGTTCCTACAAATTTTGTATGAAATATTGTTTGTAACTCAGCAATTATAATGACGTCTGTATGAAAGTTAGCAATTGTATCCGACAAACTTAAGGTTGACAGAATCTACACTTCAATGAAAGCCTACCTCCATGAAACTCTCCGTTTCACTTCGGTTTTTCTAGATCTTACACATTCGGTAGGACTCCTTGGGCGAGTGATCAGCTCGTCGCAAGGCCTCTACCTGTAGACAAACACGGAAAAACGCACACAAACATCCATGCCCTGAGTGGGATTCGAACCCACGATCCCGGCTTCCGAACGAGCGAAGACAGTGCATGCCTTAGACCGCTCGGCTACCGTGACCGGCAGTGTATAAGAATAATATATAAGAATTCAGTTCGTACCTCACAGGAAACAGATCCGAACCCACGATCCCGGCTTCCGAGCGAGCGAAGACAGTACATGCCTTAGACCGCTCTGTTACCGTGACCGGCGGATAATGAACTTAACACTACCTAAATACAACATTAACAAGACAAGATCTGAAGGACTGGAAAGGGGTTTCTATAGGAAGTTGTGTTTTATTACACAGAATTTGAAGTTCTCAGAGCAGTGGTCATGAGACTTCTATCTTCTTGGATATAACACCATGTAGAGAGATGAAAAGAGAACCCTTCTTTCTGCCTGTTACCTGCTGGTTTCATGCTTAGCTTACTTGTCGAACCTAAAGATTGTGGCAATATATTCCTCCAAAACGTCGATTCAGTATCATCAGTATACACGCTATTATATCCTAGAAGAGAGAAATGTTTAGACCTTATTAGTCTACCCCAAAAAGTCTCAAGATATTTTTTAGATAACAGATATTCTTATTTCGAACCCTGCCCATTTTATGTCCCCCTACCTCTCTCCTGCTTCAACAGCAGACCTCTACACCACAAATACCATTAAAAATATTCTCGTGAAACTTTGTTTAAACATCATCTCAACGGAAACTTCTCCATCTTAGCATGTCATAAGGTCCTGTCTTAAATCATTTCAACATGGCTGTCTTAGGAAGTATGATAAAGAAAAACTATGGCGTCACTTAGAGAATAGGTTTGAAATTTTATAAAGTGGTAGGTAGGTGCAGGGTTAAAATATTAATATTCTAAAGAACTGACTGCAAAATGAATGCCGATTTAACTGACAACTGATTGATGGTTGTCAGTTTGAAAGTAAAGCGGACGTGTGAATCTAACAATGAAATAAATCATAACTACGTGTTTTTTCTATGATATTCCAGATCTTGAAAATTAATTTTGATATAATTTTAACAATAAAGAATTTCGTAGTCAGTATTTTTCTGTAGAAGTTATGCACCCCGACATGACTATTTGCCGGTCACAGTAGCTGTGAGGTCTAAGGCTCGGACGCTGGGATCATGAGTTCAAATCCCATTCAAAGCATGGATATTTGGTGTGTGTGTGTGCGTTTATTCTGTGTTTGTGTTGTCCTGTGTGTAGGTAGAGACCTTGCGACGGGCTGATCACTCGTCCAAGGAGTCTTACCGTCTGTGTAAAATGTTTATGGAATTGAATAAGAGACCTGGGCCCTGAATGGGCTGGAAGAGCCATTGAAAAAGAAGACGTGACTGTTAAATTAATCCAGATATTAAGTAGAAATAGCAACACAGAGGAGCAATAAACTGATATACATTTGTAGGTAGTTGACGGTGTTGGTGTTACTTAAGTGAAAATTGAAGGCAACGGAGTAAAGTGCTTGTTTTTTTTTAAGTATACGAGTAACTTATGAAGTTATGTTCACATTATAGGTAAAATAAATTAATTATGAGTTTGTCGGAATTGTTGTCACACGACCTACATTTGATATTGCAATGAACATTAGTCGGTGTGTTACATAAGGAAACCTGAAAACAAGGACTCACTCTAGAATTATCAACATAAATTTGTAGTTCCTCTTGAAATATCGTTGTAAGCGATAGGTCGGGTGGAATTAGTCACCACAGGCAGTGATGTCACTACACAATATATAAATGCCAGTGGAGACGCTTCACACAACTTAGTTCTTGCCATTTTAAGAAAATCCACCAAGGAAGGCATATTGCACAAAATGCTGAAGACTTCCATCTTCGCCGTTTTAGTTGCTTGCGCAATTTTCTTCCTTTTCTCAGGTAAGTGAATAACACGTTATGATGTTACATGAAAACAAGTTTGTCAAGTGTTCTGAAGCATTATAGATTTAATTTGTGAAATGTGCCCTGTACGTAGACACCAGTGCGGATTTAGATCTCGGGCTTCCCCATATAATACGAATACATCATTAGTAACACTGCATAATATCGCTTCTGGTGTAAATCGACAGACGGAGATAAATATGACAAAATCAATTTTTTTGTGGAAAGATACGAATTATTTTGATGATAAACCAAAGCATACAATAAGAAATTTCCGCTCCTTATGACTTATAAAACGGCGCCTTCAACGAGTAAGTAAAGTAAAGGTATCCCTGTAACAGGCCGTGAAGGCCCATAGGGTTGTGAGATGTTGAGGTTCCCACATTTTCTAGACAATCGGCTCATAGGTGGCGGTAAAGTTGTCAGCCATACGCGCCGGCCGCCCTTTACCCCCAAGAATATTCCTGGTACTCATTTCTGTTAGAGGCTGAGTCGACCCCAGAGCCACAGTGCGGCTGTAAGGATTAGGTAAATTGAAAAAAAAAATCCAATGACCTCGTTGGGATTCGATCCCGCGACCTTCCGGTTTGTAGCGAGAGATTAACTTTTATTTGGCTGGTCAACATATACTCTCCTTTTAGGAAACCAAACAAATTTATTGCAGTGTTCGCAAAAGCCTGTCGGTGTAGTCGACATTGACGCAACGTAATGTAGTTCATAAGTAAATAAAGTAAAGCTATCCCTTGTAACAGGCCGTGAAGGCCCATAGGTTTGTGAGACGTTGAGGCTCCCACATTTTCTAGACAGATGGCTCACAGATGGTGGTGAGGTTGTCAGCCTTTACTCCCCAAGAAAATTATTTAATTAATCCCTGGTACTCATTTCTGTTAGAGGCTGAGTCAACCCCAGGGCCATAGTGCGGGCGGAAGGATTAGGTCAATTGAAAAAATCCAATGACCTTATCGGGACTTGAACCCGCTACCTTCCGGCTTGTAGCATATCCCCTCAACCAACTACGCTACCGCGTGCCCCAATGTAGTTCATAACTCCATGATAAAATTTCTCTACAATCTAGCTTAAAGTTAATGTACCATTTATCTCTAGATCTTCAAAATTCTCTGTTTCCTTAAGGTGTCCATCAAAAATACAGTATAGATTTCTTGTTTCTCCCATGCATGTTACATGTCCCGTCTATGTCATCCTTATCCATTTAGTCATTCTAATAGTAACAAAGGATACGTACAAATGAAGCTCCCTTTTATACAACTCCTTCATTCCTCCTTCACTTATTGTTTCGTAGGTTCATGAATTCTCTGTAGGACTTCCTTATTAGAAATATTGAATGCAATTCCTCTGAAGTGGTGTACATATCACCGTTACTGAATGGTGTTGTCTTGTTTTAACAACAGCACTTGAAGTGGATGCTGCCACTGGAGAAGGGATTTCTACAGGCTCTTCAGGCACTTCAGGCTCTTCAGGCTCTTCAGGCACTTCAGGTTCTTCAGGCTCTTCAGGGTCTTCAGGCTCTGTAAGCTCATCATCTGGTGGTGGTGTAAGTTCTCATTAAGATACTGCAAACATTATTCAGCCTTAAACTCTCAGTACAACTGCATACTATATATATATATATATATATATTGTACAGTGTATATCTCATGATAACATGTTGGATATTGTGGGATTTGAGGTTCTTACGGCTTCTCAGATGTGACGCCGCCTATTCTGTCAGATCTTTAGAGATCTCCATCTTCAGGCGACTGGCTACGTGGTGGACGACTGATGGGTCGGAGTTTGAGTCTCAGTAGGGTCAAGGATTTTCTCTTCCCCAAGTCGTCCAGACCGGCTCTGGGGTCCACCCAACCTCCTATCCAATGCCTACCGAGTGTTATTTCCCCAGAGATAAATCGGCCGGGGGGTGACGCTGACCACTCACCTCCAGCTAGTGCTGAGGTTAAGAAAATGTGGATCTATACATCACTCCCCATACACCTCCATGGCGTATTGCTTAATTCGTTAAGAATATGGAGATAACACTTTCCTCCCGAATTTCAGTTAACATCTACTGATATACACGGCGTCATATCCTAGAAGACAGAAATCTTCGTACTGGAACTGAATGACGCAATGAATTTATGATTAATTTCTTCTTATTGTACGATGCTTTATCATCTGCACAGGCTATATAATGTCCAATGTTAGAATGCCTGTATGATGAATTAGAAAGAACGCGTATGTAAATGTTCCTCGGTTATTTTGAAGCATTTTTATATCCCTGAATTTGCGTGGTGTGACTTAGGAAATGCACTGTAATAGTAGTCATGATGGCCAGTCTGTGTCCGTTGATCCAAACCCGAAAACTTGCGAATATGAAACAGAATGTAATGGTCGAGATTTCTGCTTCGCATCTGGAAGGTCTGCGGTTCGAAGCTCTACTGGGTGGCCAGGAATTTTGGTTGAGGTTTTATTAATTTACAAATTCTTTCTCGAGAAATTACCATAACAGTTGACAAAAGGATCATTACATAAAGTAACACAACGAAGTATATAAAATGAACCCACAATAGGAAAATATAATGAATATTTAATGAAATAGAAATAGAAACGTTTTATGATTCTGTGCAGCGTGATACCTGTAGTGTAATTAAGTTTGAAATAATTGAACTGTATCCGATATACATAAACATCAAGATCAATGGAATATGTACAACGTTAAAGAATGCATTTCGAAGACCGTTTCCACGTAGGTCACATATGGCTTTGCTCATGATTTCTTCACATATGTTCAAAGTTGTCATTATCATGTTTGTCCAGATGGAAATTTGGTCAAATGCCATTGACACATACCTAGGTTCGGCCAGTAGCTGCTTCTCAGGGCTGGAAACTAGATTCGAGGGCCTACTTCTAACTTCAAAAAATTATCAGTGCTTAAAAGTAGGATTTATAAAATATTTCGTCCAGTGGCCCTTTTTAGACCGCCTCTGTGGTCTTGTGGTCAGAGTTCCTGGTTACAGATCCAGAGGTCCGGGTTAGATTCCCGGCGCTACCAGATTTTCTGAGTAGTAGTCGGTCTGGAACGGGATCCACTCAGCCTCGTGAGGATAATTGAGGAGCTATTTCAAGGAAATAGCTGCTTCGGTCTAGAAAACCGAGATTAACGGCCGTGGGGATCCGTTGCGCTGACCAGGTGACACCCTCTATCCGCAAAAATTGGCACTAACTTCGCAGACAAGCGGCGGTCGCTGGGTCGGTATAGTTCGCTTGCGGACTACAGACCGCTGGTTTTCTTTTTGCTCTATACACGTACTATCCTACGAGCGTGTGTGAGTTTGATTAGTTAATATGGCCCTATTTAAAATTAATGTATTATATATATGTGTGTGTGTGTGTATGATAATGTACTATTAATTCAAGTCTGTTCTTATGAAATGATTTTAATGTTTGCCTTTCTTTCTTTCTTCCATACAGATTATTGAACGTATAAGGTCAGGACTCAGCACATTCGAGTCATTTATAAGAGCACTTCCCTTGCCTCCTGAATTTCAAGCCTTAATAGAAAGAATAATCTCATCTATTCGAAGCACTTTAAATTCCTTTGGTTAACGAAGTCCAGCGTCCTGCATACGGCTCTTTAAATATGACTCCAGCCCAGTAATTAATTGAATGACATTTTGTGTTCGACGACCACTAGATCTTTCTGCATGCCGCATAAGAATCTTCAATTCTACTTCAAGTCTTACCTTATACTACATACACACTGAAAGAATTCAAATCAGTTAACTGTAATTGGAAACATAACTTCAATTTTGAATAAATGGGAAAAGTATTCTTGTCTTACTGTATTTCGAATACGTAAAAATGTACTGAATGTCTATATTTCCAGTTAATAAATTATAAATGTCATACAATGGTACTACTTACAGATAATAACACATTTTAATTATTGTAATTTTCATAAACAAGGATATCAATTATATATATTGTGGTTCAAAATGTAAGCCTGTATGCCATATATTAATAAGCATTTTATGCCAGAAATATTCAGAACGAATAAATAATTTGATGAAAGTAATTCAGTTATTTTTTCTTTTACTCAATGGAGTCGGGAGAGCTGAGTTATTATAATGACGGGTTACGAGCTGGAGAGTCGGGGTTCGATTCCCGGCAGAGGGAAATTATTTTTATCTCCTCCATAGCGTCCAGGCCGACTCTGTAGCCCACCCAGCCTCCTATCCAATTGGTATCCCTGAGCCTCAAGCGGCCGAGGCGTGAAGCTAACAACTCACCTCCATCTAGTACAAAGTTTAAGAATGGGGAGTTATACCTCCACTTCCCTACACGTCTTAATGGGATGGTGCTTAATTAATTAAGCATAGGGACTTTATTTTACTTTTATGCTCTCATGCATGTGTCGTATTTCCGTTCCCTGTAAGAAAATTGTTGTTCCGAAATCAAAATAAGTGAAAACCGGATGACAAATCTGGCAGAATCTTCTAAGGAAGGCGATGGCTGAAAAGGGGCTGTTTGCCAATGATGATGGTGATGATTTTTGTTTCGTTTTGTCTCCATTCTTGCTTGCTGAATTTCTGTGTGCCTATCTTCCATCCATTCTCCGGCAGTAACCTGTAACCTTCAACATTAACTAAACGAAGAACTCTATAAAAATGTCAATTCTTATAAATTTACTTAATATTTCTAAAGATACAAACTTTACGTACAGCGATTCAATTAGTCAGCTAATGGAGCTACAAAAGTCCATTTTTATCACACAAAATCTTTATGTAAATTTTAATATAAAAACATTAACAAAGATGAAATCGATTACTTTAAGGAAAATATCAAATCCGCTGCAAAGTAATTATTTTAAATTCAATTATTTAACAAGTTTACATTTTATCTATTTGGGATGTTATGATCTGTGCTGTTTTGTAGATAGGCAAAAGTGTCACAGTGGAATGTACTGCATCAAGACATTTTCCATCTTTCATGGATTCCTAAAATTCATTAATGTGTTCACAACAGATCACCACTAACCCTCAAGCCTGAGACAGATGAATCCAGTACCCACCCTATTTGAGGTAAATTTTAATATTATCCTGTAATATATGCATAAGTCTTCCAAGAGGTTGTTGCGAAGCTATGATATGAATAATTAACTATACATAGGTATTAGAGAATGTATAAAGGGGTGGACAACAGAATATTACAAGCAGTTCTGGGAAGAACTAATCGCAGTCGGTAGGATGGATAAATTGCTGCTGGTCCTCGCCGGCACAGTCAGTCTTGGTTTCGGGTCCTCTCGGGACTCATGACCATATATTTCTTTTTCCTGAGATGTTTACGCGTTTTGAAATGGGGTCTCCTCTTCTACGAGAGGAGGGGCCTGATTAGTAGCGATTAATTCCCCTCTTTTGGGGGTGATTCCAAAGGGCACTTATTCAGTAACTTACTTTTATCTTCACACACACACACACACACACACGCGCGCGCGCGCGCGCGCGCGTGCTCGAACACATGAAATAACTCACTCCTTCAAACTGTCAAGAATTAATTGATTACTTTCCGTTCACTACATACCGAGTACTTGGTAAAACAGGGCCCGAATAGAAAGCAACGAGTTCAATAGTCCTTCAACTGTTTTGTATTAATTATCGCGGGAACATGTTTACCAAGCCGTTGCCTAGCAACGTTAGTGGAGGTGAAGACAGACACAGACAAGGTGATTTCATAAGCCTCTGTTTTCTTAAAAATAAGGAAAGTAAGCGGGAGCCGGGATAGCGCAGTCGGTACAGCGACTGGCTACGGGCTGGACCACCGAGGGGTCGGAATTTGAGTCCCAGTAGGGTCAAGAATATTTTTTTCACATAGTTCAGACTGGGTCTGGGACCCACTCAGCCTCCTATCCAATGGATACTTGGGGATCTTTAGCCGCGGGTAAAGCGGCCGGGGCATGAAGTTGACCACTCACCTCAAACTGGTGCCGAGGTTAAGAAAATATGGATCTATATACCCACTCCCCCATACGTCTTTAGGATAGTAGACTAAAATGGAAAGTAAGGAAAGAAACAAAGGCAAAATACGTATATTATAAAGTGATGGCACTTACCACACTTACAATTTGATGTGTATCATTCATCACCATTTTTTTCTCGAAGAATAACGCCTTTCTTGGTGCAATATTGTTTGCCATCGTGAATGTTTACCAGTATCTCTGAAGAAAATGCTGATGGGGTAGAGGAAGAAGTAGACGGTGGAAATAGTGGTGTGGGTATAGGGAGAGGGGGCCAGAACTCTGAATAAACCAACAAGAATAAGGGCAATTGTGAAAGAATCCGAGGCTTTAAGAGGATCGTTTTCAAGAGGAGAGAGATTGACAGAATTGTGGTTCTGAGTGAATCAATGGAGTAAGGGAACAGTGGGCCTCGAAGGACCTATTTTAAGGGCAGAGTGTATAAGACATGAAACCAGCAGGAATTTCAAAAATAAAAAGAGGGAATATCTGAAAGGCAAAATTGATGAGCTTGCAACGAACAGTAAGAACAAGACCGTTAGAGATATACGAGTATATAGAGGAGTAAATGGCTTTAACATGGGTTACCAACCTAGAAGTAACTTAGTGAAGGATGAGAATGGTGATCTGTTTGCAGATTCCCACAACATTTTGAACAGGTGGAAGAACTACTTCTCTGTTATTGAATGTAAGCCTATATAGGGTCAGTGATGTTAAGGCAGACAGAAAGACATACAGCTGAGCTGAGCTGTTAGTACGTGATCTTAGCCCTTTTGAGGTTGACACTATTATAAATCGCCAGGTGGTGATCAATTTCCATAAGAATTGATTCAAGCAGGAGATGAAATATTATGTTCTATGATCCATAAGCCAATTAATTCTGTTTTGAATACGGAAAAATTGTCTGATCAATGGAAGGAGTCTATTACTGTAAAAGTTCACACGAAGGGTGATAAAACTGACTGTAGTAATTATCGGGAGATATCACTACTATCAACTTCATACAAAATTTTATCCTATATTCTTCTCTCAAAGTTATGTCCATACATAGATGAACTTATTGGGGATCATCAACGTGGGTTTCAACGTAATAGAGCAACTACAGATCAGATCTTTGCGTCTGTCAGATACTGAAGAAGAAATGGGAGTACAATGAGATAGTACATCAGCTATTCATAGTCTTCAAGAAAGCCTATGATTCAGTGAGGAGGGAAGTATTGTACAATATTCTCATACAGGGTACCCATGAAACTAGTTAGGCTGACTAAAATGTGTTTAAATGAAATGTATAGTAATATGTGTATAAGTAAACATTTCTCTGATAATTTCCTTATCCAGAATGGTCTAAAACAAGGAGATGCTTTATCGCCACTCCTTTTCAACTTTGCTTTAGAGTATGCCATTAGGAAGGTCCAGGAAAACCAGGTGGGACTGAAATTAAATGGGTCACATCAGCTATGCTGATGATGTGAATCTGCTGGGTGATAATATAGATATCATAAAGAAAAACACGCAGACTTTAGTTGACGTTAGTAATGAGGTTGGTGTAGAAGTAAACACGGAGAAAAATAAGTATATGTTGCTGTCTCACCACCAGACTGCAGGGCAAAATCATGACATAAAAACAGCTAACAGATCCCTTGAAAAAGTGGTACAGTTCAGATATTTGGGAACAACAATAGCAAATCAAAACCTGATTCAGGAGGAAATTAAGAGGAGATTGAGTTCGGCTAATGTTTGCTACCATTCAGTCCAGAACTTTTGTCTTCTCATCTGCTGTCTAAAAACATAAAAATTAGAATATACAACTCTAATTTTGCCTGTGGTTCTGAATGGGTGTGAAACTTGGTGTCTGACATTAAGGAAGGAACATAGACTGCGGGTGTTTGAGAACAGGGTGTTGAGGAGAATATTTGGACAGAAGAGAGATGAAGTTATGGGAGGGTGGAGAAAACTGCATAATGAGGAGCTTCATAACTTATATTCTTCTCCAAGTATAATTAGAATGATCAAGTCAGGGAGGATGAGAAGGGCAGGGCATGTAGCATGAATGGGGGAAAAGACGAATGCATATAGGATATTATTTGGAAAGCCAGAAGGAAAGAGACCACTAGGAAGACCAAGATGCAGGTGGCTGGACAATATTAAAATGGATCTTAGAGAGATAGGATGGGATGGTATGGATTGGATTGGATTGATCTGGCTCACGATAGGGACCAGTGGGGGGCTCTTGCAAACACAATAATGAACCGTTGGATTCTATAAAATGGTTGGAAGTTCTTGAGTAGCTGCACAATTGGTGGCTTCTTAAGAAGTGCTCAGCTCCACGAGTGAGTGAGTGGAAGAAGAAACAACACAAACGGGCCAATATCCTTTACACTGTTCTCTTTTTCATGCTTAGGGTGAGACTGTGTTCCTTAATACTTATGCCAGAAGCGGGACCATTTTATTATCCCCAGATAATAGATGAGGAAGATGTAGTACGAGAGACAGTCAGTAAATAGGTCACAAATGGTAGTAAAACAGCTGTAATGGATTTCTATGTGTATCACTAAGAAGCAGCACAATCCAGCTTCATGACATTCTAGGTAGGAGATGTGCATGCACATGTTCAGATGCTGGTTTCAGTAGTCAAAATGACGACCATGCTTGAGGAGTGTACTGACAAAGAGTAGCGTTCTGTTGTGCTTTCTTTTGTGGGCAAAAGAACTCAATACAAAGGATATTCTTAAAGAAATGTTTCCTGTTTACCGTGAGAAGGGTTTGTCACGTAAAATGGTTCACAACTGGGTTGAGAATTTCTCTCAAGGACATTCGAAAGCTGCAGGTGATGTCCAACTAGGTTGCCCTGTTGAGATTGCGACAGAAGCAAGTGCGCAGAGGGCAGAAGAGTTGACTTCTATGCTGCAGGTTTCAACACAGTGGTAAAGTGATGGGACATGTGCATCAATGTTAGTGGGGAATATGTGTTTTTGCCAGGTTTGAATATCACGTTTTATATCTTATATCCACTTGTGACCTATTTACTGACTGTCCCTTGTATTTGGTGGAATGAGTTACCAGGGAAACCCGAAGTATTCAGGGAAAGCTGCCTCCAAGATAGTGTGGCCAAGGAGAAATTAAAGAACCAACGAGAGCAGGCCAAGAAACAATAAAGGCTGTGATAAACTCCATCCAAGCTGAGCCGGAAGAGATCATTAACAATTGGGTGTAAGGAATCCTGGCATCTGTTCACCAACAGACACAGCCTCCACAGGAACTCGGTCACAAGATAGATGAAATATATAAGGGCCTTCATGAAGAAGCAGTCACAGATATCCAAAGGATCACGATTATACATATAAGAGATGAAGACGCTGGTAGAAGCCACATGGTGGGAATTCAAAATGCAACTGGCAAGTCAAATTCATGGAGGTGTAGGCAGTATGCTATCCACAAATTGGTACCCACTACAAGATTACATGGCATCATATGGCAACACTGAATGCCATGAAAACTTAACAAACTTATAAAAGTGATATTCCTTGATAATTATTAGTTAGTTTCATCACCCTTTTCATAAATAGGTATAACTACACTCCTTCCACTGCTGCAGCAATTTTTCCTTCTTCCAAATACAATTATTGTTTTTGGGCCTTAGAATATATTATTTACTTTCTGCTTGGATCACTCCTGTCAGAATTTGATCAGTACATAGAAATTATAAATTTCCACCTTTTCAATACCAGTCTGAACTTTAAAACAATCAGCTCAGGTACCAATGCCTCATAACTAGTACAAATTTCAGTCTGTCTAGCATTATTAAATCTATGTACATTCAATCTAAAATACTGTAGACTGCCATTCTTATCTTTTGTCAACTTAGCTCCAGGCTAATGACCTTTCTTAAATTCATTTCATATGTCTATACAAGTTCATATATTTGTTCTTACTGTTTATTTCATACTCAGTAAAAAATACATTAGAAATTTCTTGCTTAATATGAATGGTAATTAAATGACATATTTTACATGAAATTTACAAGTGCCAACTGTCAAAAATGTCAACCTTTACAGAAGTTACAGCATGTGACACCTATTAGTACTTTACCTGAATCATAGTCAAGTAAAATTTGGAGACGGTTTTCACTACATTCTAAGTTCTTAAGTTGTTATATATATTGTTTATGCATTAATATTTCAATGCTTTGACTTGGAACTGTAGAATTAAAGCCTTCTAGGGTTAAAGCACAAGGCTCCTTATATTTGTCCTAGTTAGTAATAACAGCATCGCAAGCCATATACATTAAAAATTACATGTATGGTGTTTTTTGGGAGCAGTGGATTTGAACACCAAACTGAGGAAAATCTTCACTGGAAGCAATTTAACACTAAGATTATTTTCCTAAAATCAATGAAATGGAACCTTATACAAGGAATGATATTAATGGAAGAACACTAAATGGGGAGTCCAATGGTTTAAATTACAGAATGATCAATTTTCCGGACACCATCCATAATTGTTAAGTTTTGAGACTGGTCTCTCTCTGCATCCTCCAGTAAAAGTCAGTACTTTGCTGGACCTATTCAATAGATCTAGTCCCTACCGCTGGACCTGCAGTAGAGACAGAGCGCAGTCTCCAAAATATAACCTCAAAAACTAAGATAGATAACAACCACAAAATTAATCATTCTATTAATACAGAATCACCATGAACTTTTAGGGCTTAAATTATGTTTGAACCGTTTACAGTACATTGCCCGTTATCTGCCATGTATGGGCAATGGGATTTTCCAATTACATGACTGTGCTTGTTGCATGAGAATTTATATATATATATATATAAAAATTACACAATTTTCACCCTTTTCCAGTCTTTTTAACATATTTACATTTTCTGGTTCAAAGTCAAAATGAGGCATTTTTGTTTTAGTTCTTCCATGAAAGTCTTCTAAGACAACAGCAGATTGATTAGTGACAGTGGATATAACATAACACGACCATGTTTTGACTAGCCTCTACTGTAATCATGGGTCACATTAACCGCAATGGCAGCAGTCCTAATAGCGACTGAGAGAGCCACTGCATGGCAGGAGAGTACCTGCACATTACAACTCTGTTATTTAAGTGACTTTACAAAATGGTAAATTTTTGTTGAAAGTTTTACACGTTACATGACAATGCCACATATTTTGATAATGGCTAACTAGGAGTTTACAATATAGAACCAAGATGTGGAAAAAAGTCGAATGAACAATACAGGCTCCATCTTATTTCCAACCTCACTCCCATGTGGATTCATGTTGTTCTCATAGGTGGGACTCTTGACATATGAGTATGGAGAGCGCACATAATACATTTGGCGCAGAGAAAAGGCCATTATCAAAATTTATATTCCACTGACTTAATCAGTTTTGAAGTTCTGAATTTAATTTGTTGATTGATGTGTTGACAACTGCATAAAAGCAGTATAGCTGAGTTAACTATGAACCCATTAACCAACCAATGGAGATCAAGTGCAAACATGGAATCCATTTACAAAACTAGACTGAATGCAATGTACCACTTTAATATCTGTAGATTATATACTCATCTGGGTGATGTCAGCTAAGTCTACGGGTGCAGAAAGTCATCATCCTTGAGGCTATACTTGTATTAATCTTGGCATGACAAGCTATCCAGTGTAAACAAGTTCACTGCAAACAATCCAACTATTTATATGGCCTTCCATGTTTTCACCATTCTGGGCCATCTTCACAGGCTTAACAGTAAATGGAACTTGCTAACAATAGCTGAGGATCTGAGTATAGTAAATTATACCCTAATAATAATACCTAAATAATGAACTAAATGGAGCTAAGCCTGAGATGCCACCAGTTGTGCAGTTACTAAAGAATTTCCCAACATTTAATGAAATCCAAAGGTTCATTACCATGTTCACAAGACCTCTTCACTGGTCCCTATCCTTAGCCAGATCAATCCAGTCCATGTCACCCCCATCCTACTATTCTAAGGTTCATTTTAATATTATCCACCCACGTATGTCTTGGTCTTCCCAGTGGTCTCCTTCTTTCGGGCTTTCCCACCAATATTCTATATGCATTCCTCCTCTCCCCCATTCGTGCTAAATGCCCTGCCTATCTCATCATCTTTGACTTGATCATTCTAATTTAACTTGGAGAAGTGTACAAGTTACGAAGCTACTCATTATGCAGTTTTCTCCAAACTCCCGTCACTTTATCTCTCTTCAGTCTAAATATTCTCCCCAGCACCTTGTTCTCAAACACCCTCAGTCTGTGTTCCTCCCTTAATGTCAGAGACCAAGTTTCACACCCATACAGAGTCACAGGCAAAATTATAGTTTTGTATATTCTAATATTTACGTTTTTAGACAGCAGATGGCAGAACCTTTATTCTGGATTGAACAGTAGCAAGCATTGTTCGAATTCAATCTCCTCTTAATTTTCTCCTGAACCAAATTTTGATCCATTACTGTCAATCCCAAATATCTGACTGTGCCATATTTTCAAAGGATATGTTAGCTTTATTTATGTTATGATTTTATCCTGCATTCTGGTGACATGACAGCAACATGTACTTAGTTTTCTCTGCCTTTACTTCTGGATCAAGTTTCCTACTAGTGCCAATTAAAGTTTCTGTGGTTTTTCTTTGGTACCTGTGTTATCTCCCAACAGATTTACATCATCAGCATAGACCAGAAGCTGATGTGTCCCATTTAACTTCAGTTCCACCTGCCTGGTTTTCCTGGACCTTCCTAAAGACGTATTCTAAAGCAAAGTTGAATGGTGATAAATCATCTGCTTGTCTAACACCATTTTTGATAGGAAATATATCAGACAAATATATCTATCTATATGGACTTTACTATAGGTTTCATCATCATAATAAAATAGGTTGAAACTGTAGATGTTTAAATGTTATCATTAAAATGGTTTTTCATATATTTTCTGAGCAATACATTTTTTGCTGTTGCTTCCTAAGGGTCTGCAAACTAAACAATGGAAAGGTATTTTATTATTATCATATAATATAGATAATAACAGAAAGATTTCATACCTGGATGCCCTGTTGGATCCAGTAGTGCCAGTGTACAGGTATGAAACCTTTCTGTTATTGGTTGTTATTATTATCAGGTAACATCATATGACAACTTCTGACATATAACCTAATTGCAACTTGGAAACTCCTTCAGAGCAGGAACCTTTCTCCATATCTTCTTAACTTATTAAGTGACCGGTCTACTCTAAATCCATCAGAACCAATCCCAAAGTTGGTAGCCTGACATTTTTATACTGCGTAATGATTAACTGCTGCAAATAGTATTTTTGACAGTAATTACTGCAAATGCTTCACTTAAACCTCTGTTCAAATCACTTAAAGAAATATATTTTTCAATATTACTGAAATATGAGAAATAAGGGGCAAACGTTGGATCATATTCTTCACAATAAACAAGGAATTCACACATGTGCAGAACTCAGCAGTGTAAAACCAGATCAGAATTAACTGCCACATTACCTGGCACATGAAACCAGTTAGCTCTGTCAGTGTACTGACAGGCTATGGGCTGAACAGCCAGGGTTCAATTCCTGGCAAGGGAGATTTTTCTCTACCCCTCAGCATCCAGACTGGCTCTAGGGCCCACCCAGCCCTCTATAGAACGGGTACCAGCATCTCCTTCTCCTAGGGGAAAGTGGCCAGGGTTTGAAACTGACTGCTCACCTCCATATAGTGCTGAGGTCATGAATGGTGGAGCTATACCTCCACTCCCTCATATGTATTCATGGCATAGTGCTTAATTAATTAAGTACAAGGACAACTTTATTTTGTTACCTAGCAGAATGAAACAATATCACTACAGAACACTTGCAGTTATCTTCATGTAATTTTATGCTTAATTATGTTAGAGTTGTGCATTATCTCAACAGGTTATTCAGTAGAGCAACTAGGATACAGGCTGGTGGTCAAGGAGTCGGTGTTTGATTCTTGGCAGGAGCAATAGATTTTTCTCTTCTCCATAATATCAAGACCAGCTTTGGGGGGCACCGAGCCTTCTATAGAATGGGTACCAGGATTGTTTACCGCTGGGTAAAGCAGTAGGGCCCTATCTAGCGCCAATGTCAAGAATAGTGGGGCTATACTTCTCCATTCTTCCCTATACATCTTCATGGCATAGTGCTTAATTGATTAATCTAATACCTAAAACATATCTTTAGACTTCTTGTTTGACAGGGCAAATACACTCATTAAGACACACTATACAAAATCTATTTTTCCTCTTAACATTGCTCTTGATAGCAGCAGCATACAAGTGGAAGATTATTCATTGTTTATCTGGAAATATATATAAATATCTTTTGTACTCTCAACAAGCCAGATAACTATACACACACAGTCTTGAGAAATCTTATTATTTTGAAGCCACTTTCAGTCTGAATCACTGTCAATAATGTCACGTATCCGAGAGAACTTCTGTTTGATTGAGGCAGCTTTCTCTTCAGCATCACGTTTGTAGCCCTCACTATAATTCTCAGTATAACAAGATCGGTTGGATCGCTGCAGCCTCCCTGTCATAAAAACAACAAATACTTCAGTTATATATAACATTAATTATGTTAACTAAACCATGTGGAACAGCATACATGAAGCAGTCTATGAGACTACCAGCTGAAAAACACTGTATTACAAAACTCAGTAAAATACTATCATTACTGAATGTTGCAGCCAAGCAGGCAGCATTTAATTTTGTTTTCTGGAGGTCCTGGGATAAAATTCTGGCCTGGAGACTGGTTAGTCTGACTGAAGGTTTTTGTGGTTTCCCACAGTTCCACCAGGAAAATTTCTCAAATTATGCCACAACCATTTTCTTCCTCTTCCTTCAGAATTCATTATTCACTAATCATTTTACCATTCAGGATTATATAGAAAGAGCTACTAACATAATTGTTAACATAACCATAAATAAACTACTGGTGTTTGCTGCTGTTACTGCTGCTGCAGCAGCAGAGGTGTTATGTGATTTATGTTTAGGTGTGGTTTGGTAAGGTTAGGTTAGGTCAGGTCTGGAGTAATGTTAGATGACAAGTAGCGAGCACCTTTACGACCACCATTACAATTAATTTTCATTACTCTTTCATTTTCCACATATTTCAGTACACTCTGATACACAGTACATCAAACAAAACAAATTAAATTGATCCTTTATGAATTTTCCAGTTAATGGTGCACACCAGTATTAATGTTTCTGAGTAAAATTAAACAGGAGGAGGTTCCAGGTGTTCAATGTTTCAGTTCTGAATAAACAGTACTGATTAATAACTGATTAGTTATTATATATTCTTTGGACAGTGTGGAAAAAAGAGTTCACTCAGGGATGGCTAAGTCTGTCCATCCAACTTTCAACTCGAGAACCACTGGATGAATTTTGATGAAATTTTAGGTGATCATTATGCCTTTGGAAACTGCCCCAAATTTGTACTTATTAATCTCCTACAATCAATAACAAGGTGGTAGCCATTGTTATGGATAGAAAGCACAATAATTCCGGTAATAATATGAATAATCATAAGGATACTAATGTAGTAACCAAAATAATCATTGTAATGACAGTAAACAAAGTTATCATAGTATTTACTTTTTACGCTTTATGAAATGTGCATAAGCTCAAATGAGAATTCCGAATTCCAAGGCAGGAGTATTACACATAGAAACTGTGTACATTCTGGTACAGATTAACATATATATTAGCTCATAACTTGCCACGAATATCTCTTTTCTTATCTGGCACTTTCTATACATTGCTCTTGACGAATTGGTTGGAATGAATAGGATCATTTACATTTACATTTATTTTCACTTCATGGATCCAATTATCTCTCCATAAGGCTGGATATAAAACATGTCACATATTACAAATTCATGACTACTACACATCATTCATCCTTTGTCCAATAAAATATATAATCAGGCCTCTCACAGATAGCTCAACTTGTCAGGACAACACACATGGGTCATGGAAAATCCACTGTCAAATTCACGCCTGGCCATTTCACACACACTGGCAAGGAGTATCATGACAACACTTACATTATAAAATATTAAAATTCATAACAAAAAAACAGACATCATACATACTGCCACACTTACAACAAGCAAGTCTCTATAATATATAATTCATGCACACAGACCATCATTAAAGCCAATAATATGTCTCAATTAATCTTCATTCATGCTTACCATGATTGATCTTTATAAATACATTCACAGTTTCTATCAGTTTTATTAAAAATGACCAAAATATCCCTTCCTTCCCTCTTCGTCTGCTTTTGGGTATGATCAAGTCTGCAACACAATGCGTACTAGCCTGAATGGCATCAAACTGAAGAAAAAGATATTCTCTGGCTAGAATCTTGGTCAGTCTGTTCAGCACGGATTTACTTCATTTTGTAGCACTGTGTCATGGGTCTCCAAAAAAATTCTCTAAGCACTGAAGTCTTTGAGGCCTTAAATTTTGTGGCACTTAATGCATCTCAAAACAGTCTATAACAAAATTGAACAACATCCATCATGAATTTTTTCGTAGGTTCTTTAACCAGCGCTTTCAATATCAAGACTCTATAGTAACGGATGGTAGGACAACAGATGAATGGCAAACTGAAAAAGGAATGAAGTGGCCTAACTGAGGTAATATCTCAGTATCTGCCTGGCTGGACTGAAGAACACCATGAAATGATGATTGGTGAATGTGCAGAAGCTCAAGTAGCTCGTGCAATAACAATTGGCAGGGGAAATTAAAGTAGTCTTAAACTGCCAAATTAAGATACATGCTTCTCAACTGAGTCAATATGTCACAATATGTCACCTTTGGTAGAGACCCTGCCTGAAAGAACTTGTTCTAACAATACCTCAGAGATCTTGATTAATCCTTTATTACAAAATAATTCAGAAAACAATATTTAAGAGATATTTTTGGTACTTTATTTTAGTTTCATTTGATTTTTTATTCAATGCAGTAAGAACCAGCCTTAAATTAATCAACCAGTGGCTTATCGTGACTCACCTTTTTCTTCCATTATATTGCCCACATCTAACTCCTGCACCTCACGTCTAGCTTCAATCTTCTTGCGGAGACGTTTACATTTTTGTATGCTAGGATTACCTGAAGAAGACAAAATAATTTATGTCAGATTTGAGGTTCTCACAGCAGTGGTTATGAAAAGTTCTAGATTCCGGGATATACTGCTATGTAGACCACTGAAAGTCAAGCGACATTTTGGAGGAACATGCTGCCTCCATCTTCAGGGTCAAAGAATAAGCCAACAGAACTCTTCAAAATAGTTTGTATTTCTCTCTAGATAAGCACTTACATCAACTTCTGGCAACAGCATATTACAACTAATTTAAAGAGACATCCCTACAATGCTTCATAACCTCAATGTCTTGAGGAGCTGTACAAGCCCAACCAGTTAGGGTATTATAAAAACCTTGATCATTACAGGCTTCGCCTATAACCCTGAACTTGGTTAATCTCAGAGGAAAGAAGTTGACATAATTCAGAAATTTATTTTTGACAGCTACCTTTCATTATAAAGGAAGAATCTGTACTTGACTTTATAATGGTGGCTCTATTGGAAGTAAAACCCCATACATAATATCTGTAACCTTTCCTCAGTGTCATACAAGCTACAGTACCAACTGAATTGCAAGGATGACTGCAAACTGTGACCAGGAAAGTTGGAGGAAAAATGCCATAGTCTATTTCAAGGACAGAGGAAAATCATGCAAAACATTAGTTAGGCTAGCTGCTTTCATAACTGGGATTAATTAGAATAATTTTAGACTTAAAGATGTTGATAATGTTAATTTTTAGGTATGTATTTAAATTGTCAACTTAATTGGAAAAACAATCTGAAAAATTATTAAAGAAACTGAATACAGCATGTTTTATGCTCAGGAAGTTACAAGCTCTTCAAATGGTCTATTTTTCTTATTATCAGTCTCAGCTTGAATACAGTATTATATTCTGGGGTTCTTCTCCAGTTATAAAAAGTTTATTTGTTGCCCAAAAAAGAGTGATTAGGGTTATGCTGAGATTGAGTCCCGGAAACTCGTGTAGAGGTTTTAAGAGGTTGGGTATTTTGACAATTCCTAGCCTATACAGGGTGTCCCAGGAGGAATGTGCCAGACTTCAGGAGGGTGTTCCTTATGTTAAAGTATGCCGATATAACCCAAAACACCTATGTCCAAAGTTGAACGGTTACGGAGATATTGGCCCGAGAAAAGTGTGGTCTTCTGGCAGGTCCACGCACTGTACCTGTCAGCTGACAAGTCTTATCTATGTTTGTCCTTGAGTGTGGTGATTCACACTAGTCGTAAACTTATGTGCTACCTTCAGGGTATGTTGCGGCCGCGTTGTGAATGGTTGGTAAATTAGTTGTGCGGAGTTGCTGAAATGCCTTTTGTGTTTTCACATGAGGAATATTGTGATGTGCATTTTGTGTATGGATTTTGCGGTGGCAATGCATGTGCTGCTGTTGAAGAATACCAAAGGATTCCATCTCGCAGTGTATTTACGCAAATTCACCAGACACTGCGAGATGCTGGTTCTCTTCCGGGTGTTTCTGTGCACTCTGAAAGGGACCATGTATGAATGAGAAACACACGAGAGAACATTCTTGAGATGGTTCAGAGAAGACCGCATCTGTCCACTTGTAGAATTGGCTCCCGCATGGGCATATCACATATGCAGGTGCGGCGAACTTTACATGATGAAGAGTTGTATCCTTACCATGATCAAACGGTACAACATCTGGAACCAGGCGACCATGCTCAGCGTATGGATTTGTGCCACTGGATAAAAGCTCATCCCGAACTGTTAAGTGTCATTTTATTCATTGATGAGGCGTCTTTTACCCGGGATGGTGTATTTTAGTAGTTATGTAGTTGGCTTATACCAGAATGTGCAGTCAGCCATGCTACGTCAGCACTTGCCATCCCTGTGTCATGTATAGTGCTTGGAACCCTAACGACAACTATGACATGGCATGCGTGTTTTTTTGTAGTTCAATTTAATGGCTTCATGTCACTCACAAGTTAGTTTGATGTTACATACATTATTAACATTACAAAAACCACATATTTCTGCCAGTTTTAATATGTATTTGGTAATCAACAAGTGTGTAACACCTGTCAAAGTTTCACACTTCTCTGGCCATTATCTCCGTAACCATTCAACTTTGGACATAGGTGTTTTGGGTTATATCAGCATACTTTAACATAAGGAACACCCTCCCGAAGTCTGGCACATTCCTCCTGGGTCACCCTGTATATCTATTCTGTATTGATGTTTGTTGTTAGAAATCGCAATTTTTTTCAAACCAACAATAATAGTCATCGTATAAACACCAGACAGTTTGGAAAGCTACATGTGTCATCAGTGAGATTATCTTCAATCCAGAGAGGCGTGTTATATTCATCCATTATGGTTTATAATAATCTTCCTCAAAATATACAAAGGATGAGTGATAATGCGAAGATTTTTAAACATACACTGAATAGTTTCCTCACAACAAATGCTTTTTATTCAATAGATGAATATATTTCTGCTAAGCATGTATAACATTTAATAACTATATTCCTTGCAATTTTGTTTATGAATGACAATGTAAATTATGGTTATTTGGTGCTTTTGGTTGTGTGTGGTTGTTTGCTGTTGATACGATTGTACTTCTGCAATCAAGTCTTATTTTGACAAGTTCAATATCCAGTCCAATTTGTACAATGGATCAGTGAATTCATGAATTATGTATGTATGTATTAAAGTCCATACCTTTCATACACTAGCAATATTATTAAGATTCTCAGCTCCTCCCAGTTACGACACTGAGCACTTTTACAGTTAGTTACAAGTGTGTGGAGGATCCTTCTACCTCCACTAAACATTGGTAAGCACTGACTGTTGGTTACTGTCTATGAAACTACAATTGAAATAACCCAGAATACCACAATGTTATATGATGGTATAATAAAAGGGGTTGGGTTTCAAACAGCCCCTGCATGGCAGCCAATCTTCAATCTGTCATTCACCTCGCAAGATTTGAGGTTTTCATGGCGGTGACTATGAAGAATGCCGTCTTCTGGGATGTGGTTCACATGAGATCTACACGACGCCACATCCCAAAAGATGGCATTCTTCACTGTCATTCATCTCCTTTCTTGTAACTTTAGCCTTCAAGTAGTCTTGTATCTCATATGAAGCACAGTATTTTGCATAATTTCACTGATGTCAAAACTTGATAACTCAAAAAGGCATTTTAGCACTGAGGTAACCTGCCTCGTTATATTAGCATACATACCTTTAAGTCCTTCTATCCTTAACAAATCAAGAAGAGCTTCTATCTTTGCTTTGTTGCTGCGACAATTCTGTAAAACTTTAGAATACTTTATAGTGTGTATTCCAGCAAGACGTAGGTATCGCTTCAGGGAGGTGATCCGCTTGTTTTCTGGAGCCTGCAAATAGAAGTTATATTTTTTTCAATTATTCCTACTTCTCATGAAAGAGACAAAAAGTAGAAGGATTTATAGGTTCCATAATAACGTTGTACCATCTCCCTTATACACATTACTTCATTATGAAGGCTATCTTCTGGGACATAATGCCATGCAGTCCAGTAAAAGTCTAAGCAAGTTTCAGAGGAACATACCCTCTCCATCTTCAGGGCCAAAGAGTAAGTCAAGCAACAAGCTGGCAGCAAACAGATATGATTTTCTTTTCAATTAACAGCAGTCTCAGCTTCACTGCTGCAACAGTGCATGTTCACTGTTCACATGACCAGGTATTGCATTTGTTCAGAATTGATACCCCCCCCCCCACCCCCTTTATAATCCAGCTGCCAGCACAGTAGCACCGGAGGATTTTAAATCCCTAATTTCTCAATCATTAAGGTTAATAATGTAACTAATAGTTAAGCATGATTATTTGGCCAATCCAATTATAATATCAACAGTGTTGCAAAGAAAATTTTATGCCTCATTCCTGTTTTTGTGAAAAGGAAAAAACACAGAAACATAAAAACCTATATTTCCTAACTATGTAATTATTCTACGGTGTTGATAGTTACATGACTTGTCAAGTCATTCCATGACTTTATGAAACCAAGCACCCCACATCATCATCATTGGCAGCAGCATAAGCACTGCTGCCACCTCCACCACCACCACCATAATAAGAATTATCGTTGCTGTCATCGTCATCATCATCATCATCATCAACACACTAGGCCAACCATTGGGTCTATTAATTTCATTATAATTTGTTTAGTGAACATTTCAAAATGAGTATTCTAAAATATGGAATTCATTTTTAATACATAAGTTTCAACTTACAACATTCTTTCCTTCCTTCTTTTTATCTTTTTTGGATTTCTCATCATCAGAAACTGAACTGTCTGAATTGGAATCAGAAGATCTGTTCCCTCTCTGAATTGCGGATGCCTTTTTAAATGCTTCTGTCTTCTTTGTTTTGGTTTTCGTACTGCTGTCTTCAGAGTCTGTTGAACTCATGGAGTGACAAGAATTCTTTGTGTTGCTACTTCTTTTCTTAGAATTGTCTTCAGCAACATCTGAAGAATCAGTGGAATTTTCTGCAGTATGCTTCCCTGTCATACCTTTCGCAGCAACAGCAGTTCTCACATTTGCTGCACTGTCCCTCTTTGTGAATATATCCGAGTCAGTATCAGAATCTGATCCACGGTGTTCATTTTTAGCAGGTCTTTGTGATTTTCTACTTTCTCCTGATACATCTAATTCTGCAATGCAGTCTGATGAAACATGTTGTTTTCTTTCTATTTCTGCTTTTTTGTTGATGTCTTGTGGCTTCTGTTTTATTCCTAACTCATCGATAATTATGTCAGAAGTACAATAGTTGTTACGAGTTTTCTTCTTAGAATTTTTCAGAGGTTTTTCATATGCCATGTCTGAATCAGACTCGTTTCTAGAGGTCTCCTTGCCTTGTTCTCTCAACTGAGATTTCTTTTCTCCTGATGCTTTCAGTTGTCCACTGTTATCGGAATCAGAACTGTGCATTGTTTCTTGGTCCTGTCTTTTTAGTTTTGATTTAATTAATTTAGAATCCTTCTTAGGATTGCTTTCAGATCCCCATGTTTTTTTCAATTCCTCTTTCATTAAATCCTCTGTTGATTTTTCTTCATCAGAACCAGAAACCCTTCCTTTTCTGCTCTTTATCTGTTCTATAACATTCTCTTGCTTCTGTTTGCTACCTTCTCTATTGACATAATTTTCACAATCTCTTTGCCTGATAGCCTTCTTCAGTGGCTTCCATGCTTCAGAGTCTAATTCTGAATTGGAATCCTTTGTTCTTCTACTTTTCACTTTTTCCTTCTGCTTTTGTTGCTCTCTTTTGTTGTCTTCTCTCCCTCCTACTTTTGTAGCCTTCTTAGATGCAGTCTTCAGTGGCTTTTCTTCTTCAGAGTCCGATTCTGAATCTGAAACATTTCTCCTTCTAGCTCTCACTTTCACCTTCTGATTTTGTTGCTTTCTTTTGCCACCTTTTCTCTCACAGTCACTTGAGCCATCTTCTTCTTCTTCTTCTTCTTCTTCTGTAGTCCTCTTCGACAGGGTCTTCAATGGCTTCTCTTCTCCAGAGTCTGATTCTGAATCTGAAACATTTCTCCTTCTAGCTCTCACTTTCACCTTCTGATTTTGTTGCTTTCTTTTGCCACCTTTTCTCTCACAGTCACTTGAGCCATCTTCTTCTTCTTCTTCTTCTTCTGTAGTCCTCTTCGACAGGGTCTTCAATGGCTTCTCTTCTCCAGAGTCTGATTCTGAATCTGAAACATTTCTCCTTCTAGCTCTCACTTTCACCTTCTGATTTTGTTGCTTTCTTTTGCCACCTTTTCTCTCACAGTCACTTGAGCCATCTTCTTCTTCTTCTTCTTCTTCTGTAGTCCTCTTCGACAGGGTCTTCAATGGCTTCTCTTCTCCAGAGTCTGATTCTGAATCTGAAACATTTCTCCTTCTAGCTCTCACTTTCACCTTCTGATTTTGTTGCTTTCTTTTGCCACCTTTTCTCTCACAGTCACTTGAGCCATCTTCTTCTTCTTCTTCTTCTTCTGTAGTCCTCTTCGACAGGGTCTTCAATGGCTTCTCTTCTCCAGAGTCTGATTCTGAATCTGAAACATTTCTCCTTCTAGCTCTCACTTTCACCTTCTGATTTTGTTGCTTTCTTTTGCCACCTTTTCTCTCACAGTCACTTGAGCCATCTTCTTCTTCTTCTTCTTCTTCTGTAGTCCTCTTCGACAGGGTCTTCAATGGCTTCTCTTCTCCAGAGTCTGATTCTGAATCTGAAACATTTCTCCTTCTAGCTCTCACTTTCACCTTCTGATTTTGTTGCTTTCTTTTGCCACCTTTTCTCTCACAGTCACTTGAGCCATCTTCTTCTTCTTCTTCTTCTTCTGTAGTCCTCTTCGACAGGGTCTTCAATGGCTTCTCTTCTCCAGAGTCTGATTCTGAATCTGAAACATTTCTCCTTCTAGCTCTCACTTTCACCTTCTGATTTTGTTGCTTTCTTTTGCCACCTTTTCTCTCACAGTCACTTGAGCCATCTTCTTCTTCTTCTTCTTCTTCTGTAATCTTCTTCGACAGAGTCTTCAATGGCTTCTCTTCTTCAGAGTTTGATTCTGAATATGAATCTTTTCTCTGTCTAGCTTTCACTTTCACCCTTTGCTTTTGTGGCTTTCTTTCATTGTCTTCTCTGTCAGAATTACCTGAACTGCTACCTTCTTCTGCAGTTTTCTTCAGTACATCTTTCCGTGACATTTTCTCTTCAGAATCCCTTTGGCTTCCACTGGTTCCTGTTGTCTTAGCCCTCTGTTGTTTTTTTCTTTGGCCTTCCCTGTCAGGGCCACATGAAAAATCTTTTTTAGCAGCTGTCTTTGGAACAGTCTTTAATAGTTTACCTTCAACTTCATCTGAATCAGAATCTATTTCTATTCTGGCTCTCTTTTTTGTTCTGGGCATTTCTTGTTTCTCTGTTTTCCCTTCTTTGCCCGAATCATGTGAAATGCCACTTTGGTCAGCACTTTTCGTCACTGTAGTATTCAGTGCCTTCTCTTCCTCTGAGTGAGAATTAGAAGTCTTTTCTCTTCCATCTTTAGCCTTTGACTTAGTATTCTGTTGCTTATCATTGCTGCTCTCTCTGCTGGAAGCATCAGAACTATCCTCGTGCTTAGCAGTTTTGACAGATGCCACTTTCAGTGATTTCTCCCCATCACAGTCTGAATCAGAATTCTTTCCTTTTCTATTTTCTACTGCAGTTACAATCTTCTTTTGCATCTTTAATGATTCACACTGGTTGGAAGATTTGAAATCCTGATCTGATTCTAGTGCATATTTCAAAATATTCGGTGATTTTTCATTATCTGTGTCTGAACTTGTAAGTTGTTGTTTGGGTTTAGACTTATTCTGTGGGGATTTTCGTACTTCTATGTACTTTTTGCAGAGAATTTGCACACTCTGCTTCAATGCTGACGATTTTATAGAATTTTCATCCTCAGAAACATTTTCAGATTCTCTCGTCTCCCATTTCATACGTGACTTACCTTTCATGTCATCACCAATGGAATTAACTGGATCACCTGAATCAGCTGAACCACAATTCTCATCCTGCAGGTTCTCCCTTTCTGGCATATAATTCATTCCTAATGGCTTTGTACTATCTTCCTCTTTCTCATCATCACTAATATCAGACTTGTCATATCCACTGTGTTCTACCTTTTTTCCCACAGTATTCTTATTTTCTTTATGTTTGTTAATAAAGACATCATTAACTTTTTTGCCTGGCTCAGCTTTTATGCTTCCAGGCTTAAACTGACTGTTACTGGAGTCTTGTTTATCATGTAGAAATGTCTGTCTTTTCTTTGCTGGTTGAAGTTCATTATCCTCTTCAGAATCAGAGTCCACGTGTTGTAGTTTTGCTGTTATCTTTACTGCTGTTTCCTTGTGCCCCTCGGACAACATAAAACTGTTTTCACTACCAGTGTCACTATCCTGTCTCTTCCGCTTTTCCCATCTCACTGGAGCAGAAACAGGATCACTGTCACTCATCTTAGCAATGATTTCTGCTCATTAAAAGCAACTGCACACTGGGAAAGCCTGTTACAAATGTACCTGGAATACAATACATAACATATGATATCTCGATAAAGACAGTTTGTTCTGTTGGTTTTGGTACTTTCACTTTTTTCAATTATGGGTTCATGCCTTATTTAAGGTATTATTGTGTGTAGGCAGGAGTCAAAATACTTCTAGAAGTATTCCTGATCATCCATACTAATGAAAGGGAAAAGATGCATAAAAAAAAATAGATAATTCAAATTTTGGGTACGATCATGAGAACTTGCGGACTGTTAAATTTTTAGGGTGGGGCAAAAATACCTGACTTTTTTTTAAACGAAATAACCAATAATTAGAAATATGAGACGTTTTAAAATTTATGTATACATTCATAATTCAATGGAAAATTGATCCTAATTATCAGCATCTGAAAATAGCATTTTGCAGGTGACTTCCATCATCATTTCTACACTATTGCATTCCAGTTGACAGAGAAGTCATTACACAATGCAGCAAATCATTAGGGATGGCTTCAATTTGCTCCAGAATATGCTGTTTTGAGTTAGGGATATTAGCAGCACGTCTCACACACCTTGGCCTTCAGGTAGACCAAGAGGAAAGAAATGTAAAAAAAATCTGGTGGGCGAAGAAGCCAGTTAATGTCTCCATAGCAAGAAACAAGTCATGTGGCAGAGAACAGCCATGCTTATTCGTGCAGTGTGAGCAGTGGTTCTGTCTTGTTGACACCACCCTGGTAGGTCATGATAATGCAGCTCATTAGCCAGGAAATTTTCCAGCATAACTTTATACTGATCAAAGCTGACAATCACAGCAAGTTCCACATCATCCTCAAAGTAAGGGCCAGTAATGACAGAAGAAGACACTGCACACCACACTGTCACTTTTAAGCAGTGGAGAGGACATTGATAAAGCCAATGAAGGTTGTGTGGAGCAAAGAATCTAATATTTTGTTTGTTCACATAATCTTAGAGATGGAACAACATGCCTTATTCTCTTCACTTAGTACATGCACAATTTAAACTCTGAATGGACTGTAATGCAGATCACAATGTAACATTCTACAAACACTCCTCACATTTATGACAATGATCAAGGCATGCTTGCAAGCCAATCAATGTGGACTTAACGAAATGGTGTTCCTTTCCCTGTTCACATTTTCAGGCATATGGACAGAACAAGGACATCCTGTTGATCTTGAATCCATCACTGATCTTTCTTCATGCCATTTTGATATCCACAATAACAAAGTATCGTGAATAGGTGCAACAAGACTGTGAAACTGTTGTTAGAAACCGTGCTGCATTGCAAGCGTTCAGACATGGCAATGGTTGTCAAATGCAAAATCTCACTTTCAGACACTGGTGATTATAGTCAATTCTCCATTGAATAATGAATGTATCTATATATATTCAGAAATGAAAGCATAATCCAATCACTTGGTTTATTTAAAAAACTGTTAAGTCTCAATAGAATAAATGTATGTAACGTAAGACGTTTTTACTGTACAACTCTTACTTGAAAACATTTTTATCTCTGATAAATATTTGTTATGTTACACTTGCGATTCACATGTTTTCATCTAAAGTGGTCATCAAAATTGTCCAATTTAAATGAAAATTAAAAAATCTGGATAATTTTCTTCACGACAAATGATATAACCTCCGTCTCAAGTGCAAACAATATAAATATAATATTAATTTTCTTCACGTAAATTTTCATGAGAATCGAACCAGCAGCTGTCAAAATATTTCATGTGTGACTGAGTGACTTGCACTCCATTGGGCTACAAACACATGTAAAAAGGGAATGCATGATATGCTGCAAACTGGATAGTTCATACACAGATAATCAAAAGAATACTGCATTTTATTTTATATTCATCCTATTATTCACAAGATCTCTCTGGAACTCACACAATATGAATCACTGCATTTGATTTACATGAGAAATCAGTAAACTATGGCAATTTATTCCAAGTAGAGAATTACTGATGGGATATTTGACTGGAAAGCACAATAGCTAATTATATACCATGTTGGGTCAACAGGAATTTCACACATGATTGATCTTTTTAGACTACTTGGAAGGTGAATGAAGGAAATGTGTCTTACTGTGCCTGGCAACAATTTTTAGGCTTCAAGCTTATGACCAATAATACGAATTCCACCATCAACACAACTATAATTTATTAACTTACGTTCCACTACATGTTTTGACCTTCATAGGGTCATCCTCAGGTGTTGGGATTTATACATTTTCATTACTGAATTGTAAAGCATGCATTCATATTTACATACGTAGACTTAAAATGATTACTTTCTTTGTACATTTATATTCTAACTGCTAGATATTGATTTAAATACAAGATATATATGAATTAAAAGTTAAAAATTAATTTTACTAATTTTAAAATTAATTTAAGTGACGTATGCTGTATTCAGCTTAGTGTCTGTTGCTGTAGTAGACCATGCATCTTTATGTCTGATTTTTCTATTATTGGTTAGAATCGTTTGTGTTAACTGTTTCTTGAGCATGAATTTATCTGCTTTCGTATTACCAGGATGTCGACTGTTGCTGCTGTTGTGTTGTTGTTGTCTAGTTTATGTGGCGTGCTTTGTTGCGTGGTCTATACTACTTCAGACCCCACACCTACTCCAACCCCTTAAATCCTCCCATACCTCTATGCCCCTACCCCTCCTCACCCCCCACATCCTGCGACAACTCAATAGAAACTTTAAAATGCAATAACCGAAAGAAAAAAAAAGTGGAATTTTTATTAATAGTTACACTCATGCAACAGGATGCAAACGTTAAAAATAATTCAAGTTTATGGCTATGTAAGTAGTAATTGTTTTACTTTTGTGTGACTATACATTCTCATTTACCAGTTAGTTACAATGGTCCTCAAATGTAGTTGTGACATTAAATGAACTTTCAATGCTGTTAAATCTGATCCAAGTATAAGTAATGCATCTCAGATTTTATAGATACTGCCAATACCAACACTAATTAGTTCTGGAAACTGCCTGCAGTATTTCTCTTCGAATGCTTTTAATATGAGAAGTATTAACTTCATTCCATGCAATGTCCTTATTTCTGTATTTAAACCTGAGTCTATGTGATGTTCAGAAAATAAACAGGTTCTATCTGAATAAAATAACTGACAGTGGTCCTACATGGTACAGATAGTTTGTGTTTAAAGATCTGTAATAGTTCAACTGTTCATTTACATTTACACATAAACTACCATACATATGTGGGTTTACATTTTTAACTCTGTCAACAACCGAGTCATTTGTGTCAAACACTTCAACAACAAAAAGTTCATGATGTCAAGTACTGATGTATTTCTACGTATATGTGAAAACGTTTCCACTTATGGGACTTATCATATGATCACCAACTGGTTAATAAATGATATACAAAGGTTTAACAATACTTAATAAACAGTAACAATTTTGTGATTCCAAACATTGCAGTAACTAAAACTGTGAAGAATCTTTCTTCAGTATCGATAATTGGTACAGCGGCATTATATGAGGGCACAGTTCACTTTTAATTCTAAAATGCCTTTCTACATTGGCTCTTGGCGTGGAAACCTATTACGAATTGCAAAAGAAATACAGTTCGATTCGGTAACAATAAAAAGATTTACCATCAATTTTTGTTTGACATTTGATATTTACGTAACGTATTTCATTCACATAATTACTTTCCTCTATACAACATAAAAAAAAGATACATACGTAAACAACGGTAACAACACACTATATACGAGTATTTTAAATATTTTCTCTGCGTCCTTTGCTTGGACCTAAACGATATCGGTGGAATGTAAATACATTCTAATCGTAATTTATATTCATTAAACACCCGTATTTACTCTTCCGTGTACAGGCAGTACATCTGTCATTGAATACTTTGTTATAGTTGCATGTTGCTTATTTCTGTACTTCAAATTATGCTCCAGTCCGTTCTTCATATTACGCATCAGCTGATTTCACACATAACTGGCGGGAGAACTTTGGCGCGGAATATTCTATATTTATGTTCGTAGCCCCAAGAAGAAATCCATTTAATCTGGTTGGATTATAGCTGTTTTCCTAACATAGTGAAAATGTGAAGAGCAAACCACACACCCAAAAGGCAAATTTCATCGCAAAACCGATTGATCTGTATTGTTTACTTAACATGATGAAATGACAAATAACGTACTATTCAGGTGGTGGCCATGGTGAGAGATAACACATTTCTTAATGTGAGTCGTTTATTTGAAAGCCATTAATTAGCACCGTCGCCTAGACACCTACGACCTGCGGATAACGATGTCTACCAAGGCCAGATGTGAATTATCTAACAGAGAACTGCAACACATATAAAACCTCAAACCGCCAAAAACCTACAGCATTACAGTCAGAGATATTAGCAGGTCACGCCAAAGAGAAACGGCTCGCAATGAACGTACCTCGATAGACCTGCATATCGCTTGGGCGAGAGTTACACAAAGAAGACTGGCAACCGCAACGCAACCACAATTTCCGAGAATTGTTATCAGCCTCAGTTGAACACATGTTACTGAATGGAACAGCGCAAATTGAGGAAACGGTAACGGCAACGCATTACCCTAAATTTGCTCTGCTCCATTCTGTAACATATGTTCAACTCTGGCTAATAACACTTCTTGGAAATCGCGGTTGCGTTGCGGTTGCTAGTTCCCTTTGTGTGCGTACAGGCTTTAGCCGACACCAACACAAATATCACGGACATCACGGATGAGTGGGGTTTGCGGCGATCGTTGGTGATCATGCGATATCAATCATAAATAAATGGAATGATATGCTTACACTTAGTTCAAGGAACTCCCACTCCCAAGGGTAGAATGTCGCTAGTATCTGCCCCGCTCCACACTCACGCTGCTCACGCAGACTAGTTGTCCGTCGCTCTTTCTTGCTCCCGCATTCCGCGGAACCTCTAAATCTGCAGTTCTGCTCGTACTACTATACCGCCATCTAGTTGCGACATCAGGTGTTGTACGTCAGAAGTTAAGAAGTTCCAGAACTTCAGAACGTTTAGAATTCAGAACAACGTGAATAAATACAGAGTAGCACCGAAATGATGTGGGTGTTTAACAACCGTGACTGTCTTCCATCGCAAGTTAGCATTTATAAATCATATTTCATTTGACCTTTTGCAATGTTATTGAAGAGAAACCAATACGGTGTACGCTCTGCAAAGAAGTGAGCCAGGGCTGCCATCAGCTGATCTTATGTAACGAAGGAACCATCGAACTAGACTTCGATGTGATTTCTGTGTGCCTAAATTGTCATTCAGTTTTAAAGTAAAATGTCTATAAAAATAAAACGTTGAAGTTGTTCATTATAGTGTGAAATTTTTTGGAGAACTATGATTGCAACGAGTAGTACATGGCATGGTTCACAAATTAGGCTAATCAAGTATTTTTCAATAAGTGCAATTTGTAAGAGATCCCATTATGAATCCCTTGGGCTTACACCTCATGCCACCCAGGCAGACATTAAGTCGGCTTACTATAAAATGTCAATGGAGTTTCATCCGGACAAGAACAAAGGTAGTGAAGAAGCCGCCCAGAAATTTAGAGACATCACAGAAGCATATGAAGTACTCGGGAATTTGAGACTTAGAAAACTATATGATAAAGGGATATTACACACTGCAGGCCCACAGTTCGCAGAGAATGCAGAGGAAACTACACAGGATCATACTGAATCAAAGTTCTATAAATCTCGTGAACAACGAAGCAAAGCACCACCTCCTACAGGGAGAACTTCTATTTATAATTTTGATGAGTGGACTCGTATGCATTATGGTACATCATTTGCCCGAAAGGAAGCAGCGAAAGCTAGGTATGAAAGGAAAGTTGTAAAAAATATCAGTGACAGGCATTTTTTTGTTAGTGAGCTTGTATTTTTTGCAACTGTTCTTATTCTGACATCTATTTCACTGTCATATATAAAAAATAAAAGTTATGATATAGTTGATGAAAGTGTGAATAATAATGACACAAATCATCCACCCAATTCTTTACCAACAGCAAAGTAGGCAATATAATATTCAATAATTATTTTCCATAGTTCTAGAGGTAATATTTGATGGGTCTTAAGACAAAGCATCGCTTGCAGTTGCAGCAACTAACTATGATGTGGGGTCTTGAAAGTTGATAGCCAACTATGAGTGGTTTGCAGGTTCAGTATGCAACATAGTTCTTCGTAGGTTCCTTCCATTTATAAGAGGTTTGGAAATAAGTTTTATGAAAGAATAACAAGCATATTGATAGGATGAAGATAAAATTTTCCTTGTGCCCAGCCCTGTACCAATACTTCACACAGAACCACAGCCAAGAGAAAATTTTTCAGCGTAATGAGATAACTGGTATATCTAGACAGATGGGCACTTGATATTTTAGAAGTCTAGAAGGCTATGAGGGTGATGTACCTTTGGATTTGCTTGTTAGTAGCTGAGCATTATTTCTGTACGGAGGCAGCACTTATGAAAACTGCACTATAAGCACGAAGTACCTACTGCTAACATTTTGTATTCGTAGGCATCTACTTCAGCTAAAAATACATAATCTCATTGGATTAATTAAACTTGATGAAAACAATTTATTTGGACCTTCCTGCCATTAAGTTACCCACACTTTGTGTTCACTACTATCTAAGCTTTTAAGTCACTGTAAGCAGAAGTAAGACATGCTATACATTTTATGTACATAGTTGAGAAATGTGTGGAACACAGTGTTGCGTGCTTAAGAAATACTTGCAAAGGACATTATGTAAAACCTGATTCAGGTAAAAGGGTTAATATTTTGATTCTGTCACCCTTGTACATGTTGACATGCCCCAGAAAAATCTTTTCACATCAGCCATGCCAATACAAAGAAAATATTAAAGTGATTTTGTCTTGAAATTATGAGAATTGGCATTGCTCAGTATTGTTAGTTTTCTTATATTTTTGATCATGTATGGAATCCACTAGCTTCTTGGTATCTTATATAAAGATGAATGCTATTTTAAAATACAGAAACAATATAGGGGTATATACGAACACTTTACATGCTATATTTTGTAGGGTTGTAGAGTATTCTGAAAAAATCATTTGTACTACTGAGAGCATACACTACTGCTATATAAAATTAAACAGGAATGTTATAAAATAATTTAATAATGCTACATTCTTAGTTTTATTGTTACAGTATTTATGAGTCATTAATGTAATATATTCCTCTTGAAAAATCTGTTGATATATGCATATATGTGTGTACAGTATATATATATTTTACAATATACATGTATTTATATAAATGTACATAGAAATTGAAGAAGTGTGAAAAGAATCATGTGTACAATTCTACAACATAGGAAGTCCTTTATTTATGCACCATAACACAATTTAATGCGTATCTCGGTAATTATGAGGCTTCAGAAAACATTGGCACCATACGATCCTGGTAATGGCATGTACATTCCAACAGCAGGATATGGCATTGATCCTGTAACTGGTGGTAATGGCATATGGCTTGGAGCAGTGTGATGGATGTATCCTTGTGCTGGGGATGATACAGAATTTAGATGTGAAGCGTTACGTTGTTTTGTTAGCAATTCTGCCATTTTATCTGCTTTTACACGTCGTAGGTGCATCAGATTTCTTCTGGCAGTAAACTGTTCAAGAAAACTGTCAATATTCAAATTCCCCTCCAGAAAATTTTCTGCAATGGCCTGAAACAAAGGCAACAAAAAATAGAATATAAGCCACATAAGACTATGGTCTCAATTCATGGCTGATTGGTTAGCATTCTGGTTTTGTATTTGGAGGTCTCAGGTGCAAATGTTGGCCTGAAGATGGCTATTCTGACTGATGTTTTCCTTGATTTTCTTAGCCCCTCCAAGTAAATTCTGGGATAGTACCTCATAATACCTTAGATTAAGTTGTGACTACTTCCTTTCACATCCCACGCAATTCATTACTGAATAATCGTTTTATCTTTCAGCACTATATAATCTTAGCAACTGACAGTGTCATCATATAAGCAAAGAGTGAATAAAATAAGTAGAACACAAATTACTCACCAGGAATGAAAGAAGGAATTTAAGTTGTCTGTCTAAAAAGTAGAAGAGTTCTATCTTCTTGAATGTAACGCCATGTAACTCGTTGAAAGTCGATCAACATTTCAGAGGAACATGTGACCTCCATCTTCAGGGGCAAGAAATGAAGACAGAGGAGGAAGCAAGCTGCTTTATTCTAGGTTCTTATTTGGCTTATTCTTCAACCCTGAAGATGGAGGTGACATGTTCTTCTGGAAAGATGGTTGACTTTCAACAGATTATATGGTGTTACATCCCAGAAGATATGTACAAGTCCTTACAGCCACCACCTCAAATCATCAGTAAAAATTAGGAGCTTGTCTTAACAAAGATCTTGTCATGTGCAGTTTTTGTTGTGGGTTCATCATTACAGGAATGACTCATGCAGATCAGAATTCCATAATTTTCTTAATTATTGTGAACAATGAATATCCTTAGTTTTGTGGTTTAACCCTTTCTAGGTATTATTCATAGTACAGTGAAGCCTCGATCTGTCATTCCAAAATGTATTGCTTTCTCAGATCCATTGTTCAATTTCTGCAGTCTCTGAACAAATCCAATTTACACTGGAAATAAAACTGGCACTGGTCAGAACTTTTAGTCCTGAAGAACGTTAATCCCAGACTGATGACTTTTGAGAAAGAGCAATACGACATGTGTTAATACGCATCAGTAGTAGTACCAGCAGTTGATGGTTTTGGAACATGGTGTAGCAAGTTGCAGTTTTGGCTCTGTACCATTTGCTGTGTATCTCAACTGCCACGCCGCAGCCCAGTACTGGGCCCTCGTCTTATGGAAAGAAGAATTTACTCGCAGCATTCTCACAAAGGTTGAGAACCACTGCCCTGTGCAACCTTGGGCGCCTTACCTACCAGATAATGAACTGGACAGGAAGGAGGGCTGGCTCATGACAACAAAAGAGACCAAGCGAACATCGTTAATATTGAAAGGTTTAATTTTGAAAAGCAAAGGTGCTACTAAACAAATGAGGGTTAATGACTTTTTTTAAGAAGTAATGCAAATTGGACTTGACAGTGGAAATAATATCATTGGCATACTTCTTTTATTTAGTAAATACATATATACAAACGTGACCATTTTTATTCATTTTATATAGGCCCATGCATCTATCATTGTTCCGTATTCATCATCTTTTTCAGGGCCCCCAGGTGAAAATGATGAATCAAGGTTTCACTGTAGTTCTAATATATCTGATTTAGATGGCATATCAGAGTAGATATATGGAATTTCATGAGAACAGACACTGTTATATTCCAAGATGGTGGTGCATAACAAATGCTGATTTATGAGCTGAAGATTACAGTCTGCTTGGATATAATGCCATGAAGCTTCAGACAGCAGGTTCTTAAACAATGGTACCCATCTACAAACCTATGTGACATCAGATCCCAAAATCTTGGCACTCACTGCTGTGAGAATCTCATATTTTGTATATGAACTGTCACCGAGGAACTGATTGCAGAAAGTGGTTCAAAACTGGATTTATAATGGTTATAACAGCAAATCTGCAGTTACTAATGAGAACAGTAAGAGCAATAGTAGCAAAAGAACACGTTCTACACTCAGAAGTTGAATCCAGTACCAGGAACTGCTTATGTTATGTTTTAGTAACAAAGATAACATATTAGTGTGGTATAAATTATGTCAAACTATATGCACAGAAGACATTTGAGTTCTAAAATCGTGTAGTTCTTGTGATTTACTTAAGTACAATGCTCTTTTCTTAAAAGTGGTGGAATGGAAAACTAAGGGTCCAATCCTTTGTATGTTAATGCAAGATTTTAGGCTTCATCATAGCATTGTAATCACTACTGCTTTCTGCATTTACCCTCACTGTAATGAGAAAAGCCATTTATACACCGAAAAAGAAAATGTTATGAGCATATGTGTCTAGGGAGCCTTAATAGTGTAGTCAGTATAGCAACTAGCTACAAACTGGAATACAGAGGGGTTGGAGTTCACGAGTCCTGGTAGGTTCAAGAATGTTCTGTTCTCCACCTTGTCCAGACCAGCTGTGGGGCCCACNTTGCTTTCTCAGATCCATTGTTCAATTTCTGCAGTCTCTGAACAAAAACAATTTAAACTAGAAATAAAACTGGCACTGGTCAGAACTTTTAGTCCTGAAGAACGTTAATCCCAGACTGATGACTTTTGAGAAAGAGCAATACGACATGTGTTAATACGCATCAGTAGTAGTACCAGCAGTTGATGGTTTTGGAACATGGTGTAGCAAGTTGCAGTTTTGGCTCTGTACCATTTGCTGTGTATCTCAACTGCCACGCCGCAGCCCAGTACTGGGCCCTCGTCTTATGGAAAGAAGAATTTACTCGCAGCATTCTCACAAAGGTTGAGAACCACTGCCCTGTGCAACCTTGGGCGCCTTACCTACCAGATAATGAACTGGACAGGAAGGAGGGCTGGCTCATGACAACAAAAGAGACCAAGCGAACATCGTTAATATTGAAAGGTTTAATTTTGAAAAGCAAAGGTGCTACTAAACAAATGAGGGTTAATGACTTTTTTTAAGAAGTAATGCAAATTGGACTTGACAGTGGAAATAATATCATTGGCATACTTCTTTTATTTAGTAAATACATATATACAAACGTGACCATTTTTATTCATTTTATATAGGCCCATGCATCTATCATTGTTCCGTATTCATCATCTTTTTCAGGGCCCCCAGGTGAAAATGATGAATCAAGGTTTCACTGTAGTTCTAATATATCTGATTTAGATGGCATATCAGAGTAGATATATGGAATTTCATGAGAACAGACACTGTTATATTCCAAGATGGTGGTGCATAACAAATGCTGATTTATGAGCTGAAGATTACAGTCTGCTTGGATATAATGCCATGAAGCTTCAGACAGCAGGTTCTTAAACAATGGTACCCATCTACAAACCTATGTGACATCAGATCCCAAAATCTTGGCACTCACTGCTGTGAGAATCTCATATTTTGTATATGAACTGTCACCGAGGAACTGATTGCAGAAAGTGGTTCAAAACTGGATTTATAATGGTTATAACAGCAAATCTGCAGTTACTAATGAGAACAGTAAGAGCAATAGTAGCAAAAGAACACGTTCTACACTCAGAAGTTGAATCCAGTACCAGGAACTGCTTATGTTATGTTTTAGTAACAAAGATAACATATTAGTGTGGTATAAATTATGTCAAACTATATGCACAGAAGACATTTGAGTTCTAAAATCGTGTAGTTCTTGTGATTTACTTAAGTACAATGCTCTTTTCTTAAAAGTGGTGGAATGGAAAACTAAGGGTCCAATCCTTTGTATGTTAATGCAAGATTTTAGGCTTCATCATAGCATTGTAATCACTACTGCTTTCTGCATTTACCCTCACTGTAATGAGAAAAGCCATTTATACACCGAAAAAGAAAATGTTATGAGCATATGTGTCTAGGGAGCCTTAATAGTGTAGTCAGTATAGCAACTAGCTACAAACTGGAATACAGAGGGGTTGGAGTTCACGAGTCCTGGTAGGTTCAAGAATGTTCTGTTCTCCACCTTGTCCAGACCAGCTGTGGGGCCCACCAAGCCTCCTATCCAATGGGTACCAGGGGATCTTTACCTGGGGGTAAAGTGGCCAGGGTGTGAAGCTGACCATTCAAGGTCAAGAAAATGTGGATCTGTACATCCACTCTCCCATGCACCTTTATCTAGCGGCCTCCGTAGTCTAGAGGTAACGTTCCCACCTCATGACTCGTAGTACGCGGGTTCAAATACCCGGCGGAGGTAGTCGAATTTTTAAGGGCGGAAAAATTCAGGGAGCAAGTCCTCCGGGAGGGACTTTAAGCCGTGGGTCCCGTGTCGTAGCTTTACGGCACGTAAAAGAACCTCATATCTCCAAAGGAAGTCACTGAGCCAAATTAATGAACGTTTCCCGCCCAACAGCAGTCACTAATACCTCCGGTAGATGGGGGAAGCATTACAGATACCTCTCAGCTAAGTAGAGCCGGTCTCGCTGGCTGGGCGGGACTGGTGGTAAGCACCAGTACCGGTAGGATATAGAGACTGGTAGAAATCGTAGAGGGAAGCACAATGGACCAATACAGGTCTCAGTGCGTGGGGAAACCCACCCTCTCCAATAAATAACTAACTAACTAACTACACCTTTATAGTGTACTGCTTAATTAAGCACAGGGTCAACTTTACCTTTACCATTTATGTCTGTCTAGAGGAGATATGGTCTAATTTTATTCTTCAGTGATTAACCTGAAAATAAGTTCAGATGGTCCAGTCCATTCCAAAATTCCTATTAACAGTATGCAAATACTAGCAAGTCAGAGATACTTTAAACTTGTCAGGAGTGATGAAAAACACATATAAATTTAGCAAGGTACCATTAGCTTCATTTTTTCACTATAAATGCAAACACAATAAATTAAATATCCAAAAGCAGCATTTATGCAATGCAGGGAAACTAGAGATGAATAACTGCAGTACACTTGGATCCAGCCCTTACATACCATCATCTTTGAGCAGATTCAACCTGCTGCAACATATCTGGCTTGTAAGTTTCAAATACCTAGTTCAAATCTGGCTGGAAATGACTACCCTCACTAAGTTGAATACCAGAATATAATTTTCAAACCAGCCATAAATGCATCCTTCCATATATCTTCCTATTCCCATTGATAATAATTTAATCATACATTATTTCTGTGCTTAATATGTCATAGTTAAACAATCTACAAACCAATTGTACTTCTTATCTCATAGTTCATACATTCTGATTCTTCTATCCTCATCTACTTTATACTTTCCAGTCACACTTCCATCCATGCCAGTCATAATTACTATTTAAAATGGTGTAGTCCTGGACATGCATACCAGCTATGAACGATCAGGATGGTGTGGCCCCAATTTATCATCACTGGTTTGAATTACACGTATAGGACAATAATTTCACTAGCATGTAAATTATGATTTTCGAGTTTACACAATACTACAGTACCAAGCAACTGTGGGAAAACTGTTTTAACTTGGCTGTTATAGCTGATCTCTTCCAGTAGCTAAATTTCAATACCCTTCACCTGACATGAGACTTGCAATGGTCATTTCTACAGATTTTGTATATATATGTGTATGCTGTATTATTTAGTTACGAAACAATGTTATGTTGAAAAGAAAATACATTTTCATAAATCAGTCCTTATTTGACATGCATATGATAAATAATGCTCTACACAATGTTTTCAACATGCATAAGGTATCTAGTTTACTAAACTGTCAACTTTCATCATAATCAAAAAGGAAGTATAGTTTGTGTGGCTATTTACCACTTTAAAAAATGTTTTCAGTAAAAGCTGCATATTTTCCCAATACAGACTGATAGCTATTGTTGCTGCTACCTCAAAAGTTTGCACTGAACTAATATGGCATTCCTGGAGAAAGAGGTTTGGTGAGTTTCCTTCACTGATGTCAATTCCATGTTGAATTTCATTAAATTAACTATCAGGTTCAAATATTGTTTCGGCAGATAATCACGCCTGTCATTTCACAAACCTTTCATTCCTAATGCGCGGGAAACTAAAAATGTCATGCTTAAAAATAAATTAGTATCACAACTTAAAACTTACTTCTGATTCTTCTTCTGATTCTGCTGCTGCCGTCTGCAATAATGCAAGCGTTGTTTCTGGTGTCATGTCACCACACTGTTGTTCTGTTCAAAATACAATAAATTTCAATAGAAAGAAATAAGATAAAGCATCACAGTAGCTGATCGGCATGCATTAGTATATTAAGTATTAATCTGAAATATACTCATTCTAAATTGTCTGTATATACGCATATATTGTTAGTAAATGCCAAATGAGAACGGGTCAAAATAAAGCTAGACAAGGATTCAAACCCAGGATTTTCTGAATGTAAGCAGAAGTGCTAACCATTTCACAATTAGTGATTATATGTGACATGTATGCTACTTAATGATTGATTGATTGATTGATTTCATCACTGTGTATCATTGTACATGAGATAGGACAAGTCAAGTTAATTCTTATCTTAAAGCTTATCAACTGCATACTTATGTAATAGTATGAAGTTATGCCATAATTGTGTACAGTCTGCTGAAAGAAAGGAGGGACTGCAGCTATCTATGCTTATTTTAATGTCCATTATATGCTTCTTGTACCATCCTACTAGAAACAAAACCTTGCTTTCTTATGTATGAGGGTAAGTCAATAAGTAAGTTACAAATGGATATAAAACTTAAACAAATAAGAGTACTGATTTGAAAAATGCTTTTATTTCTCAACATAATGTCCCTGTACATTGAGGCACTTGTCCCATTGTTTCACAAGCCCCTGAAAACCAGCAGCATAAAATTTGTGCTGCTGTCAGAACCAGGCGTGTTCACACGGCATGGCCTACCTCACAATGCATGACAGGTTATGTTTTCACAAAGTCTGTGCACGATGGGTGCCGCGCATGCTGACCCCACAACACAAAATGCAAAGAATGGGTATGGCATTACAGCATCTCAATTGCTACCACGATGAAGGACACGATATGCTAACCCGAACTGTCACAGTTGATGAGCCTTGGGTTCACCATTACCAGCCTGAGACAAAGCGTGCATTAATGCAGTGGAAACATCCTGCATCGCCTGCCAAAAAATAGTTTAAGGTGACATCATCCTCCAGAAAAGTAATGCTGTAGAAAGCTGTAGAAAGGGAAGTCACCGTGGGGTTCTGACAGCAGCCCAAAGAATTTTATGCTGCTGGTTTTCAGGGGCTTGTGAAACGATGGGACAAGTGCCTCAATGTACACGGAGAATATGTTGAGAAATAAAAGCATTTTCCAAATCAGTACTCTTATTTGTTTACAGCCATTTGTAACTTACTTATTGACTTACCTATGTATATCATCTCTTTCTCTTTTGAAAAGCTGGTGCTTGTAACAACAAACACTGCTGTTTTATATGTCTTATGGTATGCTTCAAGAATGCCCATGATATATATATATATATAAAGTGTATAAGGAACTGTGATTGATGGAAATAAATCTGTTTCATTCTAACGTCACATTTATGTGAACAGTAAACATACTAAGCTCTGAAACTCTGCTTTCTATTCTCTGACACAATGCTGCTCCCCTTTCACTTAATTCTTGAAGGTGTTGCTTTCCTTCAGCTAGATGTGGCTCTTTTGTGAGATTAAATTCTGCAAGTGATCTGTTACTTGCTATCAACATTTCTTTTTCAGCCTCTAAATCTTTAATCTGCAAACAATGGAAACATAATACATCAATCACAAAATTACACCACTGCTATATTAACTAATGTAAGTGAAACTAACACAGAACAGAAATTAGTATGGTGCATTACAGCAAATAATAATGAGGTACATTTTGAGTGCAATATTTGATTTCAATCATTCATTTTTATTCATCCTATACAGCAAATACATTGATATAGGACATGTCACTCTATATTATAAAATTAATCGGAATACTAAGATAATTATAATATAAACTTGTTATAAATAAAACATATTCTATGCATTCTATATCAGCAGCTGATATTTGAGAGTTATTCATAGATAATCTTCTACTGAATAATAGCAAACCTTAATTTTTTTAAACGGGTGTTGTTACCTATTTGTTTTATGCTGTTAGACAATTTGTTATTGAAGATACAACCTCCTACTGATGGTTCTAAATTTTGTACATATCTATGATAGTCATTATTTCTTGTGTTATATGCATGTAGTTGTTTATTTTCAGCGCAGTTACACTTCACTATTGCATATAAGATTGTTTCTTGACTGTATAACTAGATGCCTGAAACTGTCTCTGCACGATTCCAATTGTTTTAACCTTGCAATGCACCTTATAGCCCGTTTCTGATGGGTAGATTTGTCGTGAGAATCGTTTGTATTGTTTGTTGCCCAAAAATTACACAGGCGTAATAACGAACGTATTACTAAATAACTTACATTTCAACCATATGCATAACAAAATCCGAACAATAAACTTACTTGTTTTACATCTTTCATCATATCATCAAATTTGTTGTCATCGTTTAGTAATTCCTTAAGTTCTTCGGCATTCAGATGTGAAAATAATCCTAGGGCAGCTGGATAATCAGGTTGTTTTTGGTAATTGCTGTACATTTCTTTTATTTAAAACCTACTTCGGAGTTAAAAAAATTCAGTTAACAAAACAATGAGAAAAGAAATATAACCTACACAACCATTCACAACCAACCGTAATAAACTCGAACCCATTAACGACAATAACCACGTAACTACTACTCTAGTCATACGCACGGAGTGAAGTAAGTTCACTTTTTATCGGTTGGTAGTTAACTGGGTATGAAGGGTAGCTAATGCTGTTAAAAGTATTGAAGAGTAGAATGTATATGTAGTGAGAATTTTCATTAAATCGAGCAAAAAGTAATGCCTTAGGATATGTGTGTAGAAGTAGTTTAATTATGTTGATGAGTATTTTAAAGATATAGCAGTTCGTGTTGGATTAGGTTACGTTCTGTTGGGTTGGCCTGCGTGCAACCGTATTTTAATCACACTGCGCCTTGCTTGGCTCTGCCGAGCTGCCGAGGTACCCAAAGTCCATAATTCCCAAACTAGCACATGGTTCCGATTTCGGAGGCTCCATTCTGAAACAAGAGGAGCATTTTAGCTAATTATTATGAAATCAGCACAAGAGCTATGTGCAACAGTACATTATCACATTATTGCTAACAGATTTTAATATGTTTTTTAATTGTTTCTGTAGCGTACTAAAATGTGTAGGCTGTTTCAGTACAGAACATTTTCTTGTGCAAACAGATCCATGAGTAATTTACCATTTGTGCCAAAACACAATCCAGCTCATGATGATGACATAGAGAGTGTAAGTAATTTCGTTAACTCTGCAAATAAATTATTAATTCTCACTGGTGCTGGAATATCAACAGAAAGTGGAATACCTGATTATCGTTCAGAAGGTGTTGGCCTATATGCTCGTAGTTCTAGAAGACCAGTTCAGTATCAAGATTTTTTGAAAAGAGAAGCCATGCGCAAACGTTATTGGGCACGCAATTATGTTGGATGGCCCAGATTTTCTTCATTCCAGCCTAATGCTGTACACATTATGATAAAAGACTTGGAGGCACATGGGAAAGTATGCTGTGTTGTCACACAGAATGTTGATAGACTACATACTAAAGCAGGAAGTAAACATGTCATAGAGCTTCATGGATCAGCATTTAAGGTGATCTGTGTAGAATGTAACAACACAATAGACAGACATAATTTTCAAACTATTCTGGAAGAAATGAATCCACACATGAAGGGGACAAGTTTGATGATTCGACCAGATGGAGATGTTGATATATCACAGGTAATTAATAATTTGATGTTATATTCTGAAAAAAGTACTCAAGTAGGTTATAAAGTAGACAAACAAACTTTTTACAGTTTATATTTGTGTATTTTACTAACAAAGCTAAATTTTAATTGTTACATCTTGTTGATATAATTTTAAGTGCCAATGACAAAGTATGTTGTAATGAAGGCTGTTGTGGGTACAATGCCCAAGCAGATATTTGGTATGGTATCAGTTCCCAAAACAAACATTGTCAGGATGTTAGGTTATTGCTTGATATAATATCAACATTCTCAGTCCAGAATGTGACATAGTCTACTTTAGCAGTGTTAGAGATCCCTTGTTAAAATCATAGAATGCCATATTGGAAGTGGAGATTGAAACTGCAGATCTGTTGTTATTATATTTAAAATAAATTAACATTTACATTTACATTTATTTTCACTTCATGGATCAAATCATCTCCCCATAGGGCTGGATATAAAACATGTCACACATTACAAATTCATGATGACTACACATCATATGTCCTTGTTCCAATAAAATATATAATCAGGGCTCACACATACAGCACAAGTTGTCAAGACAACACACATAGGCTGTGGAAAACCACTGTCAAATTCACACCTTGCCATTCCACACGCACTGGCAAGCCATATCATCAGTACAGTTTCATTGTACATATTAAAATTCATAACAAACACAGACATCATACATACTGCCACACCTACAGCAAGCAAGTCTCAACAGTGTATAATACAAGCACACAGACCATTTATTAACTCTTAACTTTTGAGCCCCTTGCATGCTCAACAGATTTGTCAATAGAGTAAAATGAGTTACTTTGCAGTAATTTCATAACACAAGCCTAAATTTATTTTTATCATTTTTTAAAACTGAGGTATTTGACGGCAGACACAGCTTCACTTACAAGGTGTGGCAATAAAGAAACCGGATTCATGCTCTAACCCTTTATTAAAAAAAAATCAGACAGTCGAAATGTTATCCCCTTCAATGTAGTCCCCTCCCCGATCCCTACACCGCTCCATGCGAATTTTCCACTTTTGGAAGCAGTGCTGCAGGTCATCTTGTGTTATGCTCTTCAAGAGTTGCGTCGCTTTTGCTTTCACTGCATCCACGGACTCGAACCTGGTCCCTTTCAGCGCAGACTTGATTTTTGGGAAGAGAAAAAAGTCGC